ACTATTGAATTTTACATATTTTGATTTTTCAAAAATTTTGATTTTTTTATTTTTATATAATTTTTCACCGATCCAGTTTGGTTTTAAACCGTAATTAAAATTGTCAAACCTAAACAAAACTGTTTTTGACCGGTTTGGTTTGGTTCAAAACCATTTCGTTGATGGGTCCATGTGGCACCAAATCAACGGTTTCTAAAATGCGGTTTCAATTCGATTTGGCAGTTTTTGCTTACAATTCTAAGTAGGGATGACAAAAAACCTCGCGGTTTGGGTGGCTTGGGCACGGGTCGAGCCCCATTGTGGGGCGTCAGCTCTAGTCCGGGCTGGCCCGTGGCCCGAGCGAGCCTGTCCATTAAAAAAATATAAAAAATAATTTTTTTTTAAAAGTAGCTACCTGCAAAGGCAGGTGCAACCTTTGCTTGGCTCTGCTCGGGCCCAAAAAAGCTCGAGCCGAGCGCGAGCTTTTTTTTCGACTATACTGGCTCGTTGACATAGCTAGCCCTAGGTAATCCTAGCCCCATTTGGGACTGAACCCTACGAATATCGGGTTGAATGAGTTTTTTTGTCATCCTTACTACCCCCATCCTCTAACCTCCACCACCGCCGTCACCACCACCACCACCAATATAATTAAAAAGAGAATTAAAAGTATACAAAAGTAAGAAACAAAACAAAAATAGAAAAAAAAAAAAAGGTTCTTATTCCCTATCCAATTCCGCACCTTGCTACCGATCACCATCCCCACCCTTTCTCTCCATCCCACTGTGTACACCATCCAGGGATTTAGATATTTTCATGTTATTAAGTTTTGCGTTCCAATATCTTTTTGTTTTCAAAGAAGTTGCAAGAGCCTTTTTAGGGATTTCATTATTTTCGGCAAATTATTGTTTCTATCTTCTTATTGTTGGTTACATACACATATATATACACTGCAATAATTTTTAAATTTTGCTCTGATTTTGTTCAAGCTTCTTTTGCCTCACATAATAATGCTTCAAGATGGGATTTCTTTTTGCACTAGAGGGTTTATTTAAGATCTTAATCCAAACATCAATCATAACTATTTTTTTTTTTTGCTCTTAATTAACAATGCATCGTGCAATGTTATGATAAACCAAAAATCGATCGCAATTAAAAGCCAAATAAAGAAAAAAGTCAATATATTGAGTCAACTAAACAAATATAATGAAACAATTGTAACGTCAAAACAAATAAGGTGTTACCAATGCTGAGGGATAAAGAAGTTTGGTTCATATACGCGACACATAAGTTTGGTAGGGTTGAAGAAGTTTGCGAAATGCTCTCTTTGTTACAATGGTGGTTCGAAGTAGAACAGTGCTATATGGATTTCGAAAATCTTTCCATCATCCCAAACACGTGATTCGCTGAGACTTTGTTAGCTGGATCAAGCACCAAACTTCTATCCAATATTGTCCTGTTATCAGCCTTACTGTGAATGTAAGTCAAGTTTAATGGCTTCTCAGCTACCCTTATTGTATTCATAAATTGAAACCTGAGATCCTACAAAAAAAAATTGAAACTGTAAAGAACCAAGTATTGGTAACTTCAAATTTATGCAAATCTCAAATAGGTTTAGGCCAAGTCCAAAAGCCAACCTTCGGTAACAACAGGACCTACAGGCTCACCCTCTCCATAGATGTACACAATTTTTACTGGTTCACTCTACCCCTGCCAGAAAAGTGGCTCTGATACCTGTAGTATATGGAAGGATATCA